ATAATCACACGTAAAACCAAATGTAATAAAGTATAGGGTAACCTACTTCCTTTAAAGAACAACTGCTCCATTGGCGAATACCGCAACAGGTATTGAATTATGTACAAAGGAAAAAACAGATATTGAAATTTAACATTCTACCTTTGATTTTGCTTGTTAAGGAGAAGGTCATTATTGGACCGAGCGGTTTCGTCCTTAAATAGATTTTTCTCAGTTCTAGTCTCTTATGAAATTAACAAGAGCACCAAAATGAACCAATATACTATAAGGCTAGTTACGAAGAGACCAATTATTCACGTGTTGAAAATGGTAATTGCATCTATTCTTAGTAAGCAAAATTAAAGGTCGCTTGCTAGCAAAATGAAAGGTAGAGTGGTGAAATTAACTTTCTATCTTTGTTGTTTTCCTTTGAATTTAATTTAATACGGTATTAGCCAAAGATGAAGTTGTTCTTCAAAGGAAGACGGTAGCCCTATAATTTGTGTCATATGGCTTTGAGTTTGACTATTTTATTTTACGTCTTGTTCACATTTGAGTTGTAATTATTTTCCTATTTTCTTCCGAATACTGTATCTCTAATAAATATGGATTTCTGAATTTTTAACCTGTATATTTTAAACCTGACAGAAGATTTTATAAGAAATATTTATTTTGCTACCGTTTATAGTAAAAAAGTTTATTGAAGAGTTCATTATGAATTTGTCAATTTTTTATGTGTATGTTTTATACTGTTTTTTAAGAAATTGCAGATATTACAAAGGGTAACTTTTTTTTGGTCACACTCATTGATTTAAAATGTCTGTAAATCAGAAGTTCAGATATTTTTATATCTATAATATAAATGCTGTATAAGCGAAAACTGAATTTACTTATATTTTCCTAAAATTTTCCAAACTAACGTGTAATGAAATGTATGTAACGTGGAAATATTATTGCATTGGCAATGTTTTTTTTTTTAGTTTGTTCTGGTTTAGACGATTGCAACTCTAGTAAAATCTAAAATCTCTTTATCTTCAGATGACGAAAAACCTAAAGACTTACTTTTTTTCTACAACTGGAGACCATTTAGGATCTACTAACGAGTCGCCTGAACTAAAATCTAACTTCTTAAGTTCTGTTTGTGTTTTTTTTTTATATCCATTCTGTATTTTTATTAGCACACTTTACGACTTTTTTCTACATACAATAATTTTTGTACACATAAATGTCCATAGCACTTTTCAAACGTATTTTTTATGCATTCGCTTTTTTTCACTTTTATGATCGGAAACAAAGAAACAAATAATTTTAAAACTTGGACTTTCGCAAAATAAACAAATTTTCGTTTCACGCTAAGCAGTAATTGCTTTTTGCTAGAAACGAAAAAAAATGAATGTCCAAAAATTAAAATTGTTTGTATCTCTTTTTCTTCTTCTGCTTCTCCTTATTCTTCTTCTCTTCTGCAGTTGTAAAAAAAATAATTTTTTATAAAAATTATTCAAATAAAAGTTGTTTACAATATAATTCTCTACAATTTTTATTCTATACATAATTTCTCTAAAATGAAATGTATTCGAGATATTTGAGAAAATGTGTAAATTTCGAATTTTGAAGAAAACTCAAAAACGGATACAGAAAAAACATTAAACTTTATACTTAAATTTTATTTCGGCCTGACGTGAAATAGATTTTGGACAAAGTCGGAACATCTGTGGGGGTACTTTATGGGAGGACGTTTTTATATTTTATGGAAAATATTTGTTATTTATGTTTGGAGAAGAAAATTGTTTAAATATAAGTTACTTCTAATATTATTATCTACAATTTTTGTTTTATGTCAAAATTTCCTGAAATGGTCCGTATTCGAGAAATTTGACAAAATGTGCAAAATTCCGATTTTTATGAAAATTGTTGAAATAAAAGTTATTTGCCATATCGATCTCTATAATTTTTGTTTATACATGATTTTTCTAAAATGGACCGTAATGGAAAAACTGTAGGAAAAGTGCAAAATTTAAATTTTTCAGTATTTTCGTTTTCAATGAATATCTATAGAAAAATGTTTCGAGGTACATGTATGTGGAAAATGTATATATTTAGTTTATCCTCTAAACATTTATAGAGTTGCTGCAATATGTTGTACAAAATCACTGGAAAAATCCTATAATAGCTAGATAGGAAAGTCATGTGTTGGACACATCAGATTTTTAATAAAGATCTACAAAAAACGCATTTTTTCTTTAAAAAAATCGTGGGCGTTAATGGGTTAAGAAAAATATCAAGTTTTAAATTAGTTAAGATATTACAAGTTGCTTGAGTTAATTTTGTTAAATAATGTTGAGCAAGTTTCTGCTTACTCCCTTAAGAGTATTAAAAGTGTTTTAATTCTTTGTATGCTATGTTTTATGCATTTTTTATAAATAAACTAATGTTTTGCATTTATTGTTATATTATTTATCGAAAGTGTAGTAATAAAATAATGTTTTGAAAATAGGATCATTTTGCCCCATGTGGGCGATCGTTTTACCTCTAGCATTTGGGTAAAATGATCCTTTTGCAGATATTAACAAACATCATTGTCATTGTCAAATGGACACCAAATCCTCTAGAAAAGACAAATAAATTTATATCCCTGTACTTGCAAAAATATAACGAAATTAGTCTTAAGGAGATTATTATACCCCAGTCTACACTAGATCTAGAAGTAGCACAAAAATGTACATGCAGTAAAATCACAAGCCAAGCTATAATTTTTTAATGTATTTGGTTTAATATTAGGGACGGCAATAATAAATATTACGGTATTATGTAAAGGCATGTAACAATGTTATATTTTTGATGTGTTGTTTGCAAAGTATTATAATATTAGCTTTTCTACTTTAAATGACGTTTAATTAAATACAAACACAAATTTAAACCTTATTAGCTTTTATCAAAAAATCTGTTATACATTGCTTGAACAAAAATCGACAATTAAATATTTAAAAAGGTGTTATCAATTTTGCATGTGCTTATTTTTTTTAAGTTTGTTTAAAACAATAATTAATTTATAATATTATAAAATAATCTTTAATTTGTATAAATATTTACATTTTTATCTAGTAATAAAATAAATTATTGTTTTAAAAATTGTGGAATTTTTTACTGACTACTTGGTATACATAAAAGCCAAAAGTAGGAAAGAATGGAAAAATAGCTGGAAAACATGTACACAAATCAACAAGTCATTATATGATAATACATAAAAAGTTACCTAAATACGTTTCATCCATTTAAGAACATTCAGTTCAAAGATACTATTCAACTACAGACCCCCCCCCCCCACACACACACACACACACACATACAATCACACACATAATCACATACACACAATTACACACACACATAATCACACACACACACACACACACTCACACACACACACACACACACTCACACACACACTCACACATTCACACACTCACACACTCACACACTCACACACTCACACACACTCACACACTCACACACTCACACACTCACACACTCACACATTCACACACTCACACACACTCACACACTCACACACTCACACACTCACACACTCACACACTCACACACTCACACATTCACACACTCATACACTTACACACTCACACACTCACACACTCACACACTCATACACTCATACACTCATACACTCACACACTCACACACTCACACACTCACACACTCACACACTCACACACTCACACACTCACACACTCACACACTCACACACTCACACACTCACACACTCACACACTCACACACTCACACACTCACACACTCACACACTCACACACTCACACACTCACACACTCACACACTCACACACTCACACACTCACACACTTACACACTCACACACTCACACACTCACACACTCACACACTCACACACTCACACACTCACACACTCACACACTCACACACTCACACACTCACACACTCACACACTCACACACTCACACACTCACACACTCACACACTCACACACTCACACACTCACACACTCACACACTCACACACTCACACACTCACACACTCACACACTCACACACTCACACACTCACACACTCACACACTCACACACTCACACACTCACACACTCACACACTCACACACTCACACACTCACACACTCACACACTCACACACTCACACACTCACACACTCACACACTCACACACTCACACACTCACACACTCACACACTCACACACTCACACACTCACACACTCACACACTTACACACTCACACACTTACACACTCACACACTCACACACTCACACACTCACACACTCACACACTCACACACTGACACACTCACACACTCACACACTCACACACTCACACACTCACACACTCACACACTCACACATTCACAGACTCACACACTCACACACTCACACACTCACACACTCACACACTCACACACTCACACACTCACATACTCACACACTCACACACTCACACACTCACACACACACACAAACACACACACACACACACACATACACATACACACACATACACGCACGCACACACACACACATACACGCACACACACAGACACGCACACACACAGACACGCACACACACACACACACACACACACACACACACACACACACACACACACACACACACACACACACACACACACACACACACACACACACACACACACACACACACACACACACACATTTTTCACATACAAGTGAATGAAGTTAAAAAAAAAATCCTACAAGTAAACCGTTAAAATTAAATATTCGTTAATTGTTTTCTGAAAAATATTTATAAAATCAATAAAAGAATATGTAAATAATATTTTTAATAAAAAAATGTGTAATTGATAAACTTTGACACACCGTAAAAATGTTATCTGTTTAAATGACACGAACTTTAAATTACTCAGTATAAATCTGTCAAAGTTTATCATTTTTTAAAATTTTGATTTACCAGATAATAACTTTTTAATTCTGTTTTTTTTTCAGGATTACGACTACAGCTACGACTACTCCGATTTTACAATAAAACCAGCTACACATAAGCCAACAGAGTCGCCAATATCCTCATCACCTTTACCACCAATTCCATCTACCACTTATAAACCAACAACCGCTTCTTCATCTACCAAGCCACCCTACCAACCATATCCATTTATACACCCGAGCTCAGAAAAACCAGCAAAAGATCCACCAAAACCGGAAGAAAAACCATCAACTTCCTCAAAACCACTCGTACACGATAAACCGTTTGTAAGCGAGAAACCACTTGTACAAGAGAAACCATTTATTAATGAGAATGTTCCACTTATAGTCGCAAAGCCGCTTATAAATGAGAAACCGCTTATAAACGACAAACCACTTGAACCACAAATCGAAATATCCGTAAATTCTAGCGCCGTCGCTTTGAATACGACGCAAAAAAATTCAAAATTGGATGATTTCAGTGCTCCCGGTAGAATTAAAGTGCAGATAATAGAGACACCTACACCTGTGCAAATTGGCGTGGTTCCTGGTGAAGATCTCGCCGATCAGAACGAAACGTTGCCGCAGGGAGAAATTCTGCATTTTAAAAGGTGCGCTCAGGGGTTTACTAGGGATAAAAGGGGGAGATGTAGGAGGGTTAGAAGGCCTGGAAATGTTCAGCCGCAATTATCGTAAGTATATTACTATTTTGAAAAAATTCGTCGCCGTATACAAAGGCACATGTTTCAAAATGTATTGTTCGCTTGTTTAAAAGTCCTTTAATTCTTGAGGACCTCGTTAATTCTATACATCAGGGTGTCAATTTGAAAACTTTCAATGCGAATATCTCGCAAAATAAAGAAGTTGGAGAAACGCCGTTTGGCACAAATGTTATAGAGTTAGGTGGAACTAGAACCACTATATTTCAGTGAAGGGGTGAGTCACCCCTTAGGCGCGACACACCCCAACTTTAAAATGTCAAATGGCACTACCCCTTTTGTTATACCTCAAATGAAAGGTCTCATTTAGTAGTATTCACCTGTACAAGAATTTTTTCCATTCAATACAGGGTGTAACAAAAACATGAATTCGAATAAAATAAACTGTATTTTGTTAAAATGGTACTTTATTTGATCAGATAATTCAAAATGCATTCCATTTATTTCTAAACCATAGTACAATCGATTTTCTACGAAAGCTTCCTGGGCCACTTTTTTTATAAAAAAAAAAATATTATTATCTCGCAATTGTGACTTATTATCTCACAATTGCGACATATTATCTCGCAATTGTGAGTTATTATCACGCAATTGTTACTTATTATCACGCAATTGTGACTTACTATCTCGCAATTGCGACTTATTATCACGCAATTGCGACTTATTATCACGCAATTGTGACTTACTATCTCGTAATTGCAACTTATTATCACGCAATTGTGACTTATTATCACGCAATTGTGACTTACTATCTCGCAATTGCGACTTATTATCACGCAATTGTGACTTATTATCACGCAATTGTGACTTACTATCTCGCAATTGCGACTTATTTTCACGCAATTGTGACTTATTATCACGCAATTGTGACTTACTATCTCGCAATTGCGACTTATTATCACGCAATTGTGACTTATTATCACGCAATTTTGACTTACTATCTCGCAATTGCGACTTATTATCACGCAATTGTGACTTATTATCACGCAATTGCGACTTATCATCACGCAATTGTGACTTATTATCACGCAATTGTGACTTACTATCTCGCAATTGCGACTTACTATCACGCAATTGTAACTTATTATCACGCAATTGTGGCTTACTATCTCGCAATTTTAGAAACATAACTGACATTTTGTGTATAACAAATACACTTACAAAAGAAATGATAAATACAATTCAATATTTGAAGGAGTATCTACCAGAATGTAACGACGATATTTAATTCTATTCTAAATGCCAACTTTTGCAATGATGAAATTGCTTAGTTTCTAAATGTAATAATACAAAATTATGTTTTATTTTTGCGAAGGAAATATTCTTTTATTTATTCTTTTTTCTTTTTTCTATAATGTGATGTTTCTATTTTTGTTTATTTTATAATTTGGTGTATGTACTACTAAAATCAGTATTTTTTACCATTTATTTTTGTATGACAGGAGATTAAAAATACTGAGATTAACACTATTATACTTCGGTAGAATCAATTAATTGTTCAACAGTAACCAATCCCCTTAATCAACCAAATTAAAAATACTACAGTTTGAGGCGTACCTACGTGTCATTGCCAGTATTTCTCGTTAGTATCTTATGTTTCTATTTGGCCTAAAAATGCATTACTCACAAAAATTTATTTCGTTTTAAGACTGTTTTCTATTTTTTTTTTTTAGTGATAACTTGTCACGGTTTCAATACTAGTATTTTATTAAGTTATCTGTTTCACTAGATGTGGTTGACTGTATAACAGCAGTGCTTCACAGTGAATCAAGTTGCATTTTGTTTAAATTGCTATGATTTCAACAATTTTGTTTTTACAACTATAGTGGTCCTTACAAATGAAATAATATAAGATATTCTTTATTTATATACGACATATTTTCAGAAATTTAACTTTAATAGGAAATATACAATAGTAATAAAAAATTTGGATGGTTTTCTTTTGAACAACTGCCTATATAATGTTGGTTTTTTATAAATTTTAAAAATACCTATGTAAAATAAAAAATTATCATTAAAAAAAAAAACAAATTAGTTATGTGTATTACTTTATTGCATATTAATAAGTTCATCCAATATTGCGAACAGTGTTTCCTTAGTATACCCCACCAAGACTCGATGCGTTGATTACACTGACTGGTTCCTTAGATGAAACTATTATCATCTAAAAATTGATCTTCATTTTTAACAGCAGTTCTTCTCAAAAATTTTTGCATTTGTTCTACAGTTCCATTTTCAGTACCCATATCGGATCTAATTTTTCTTGGACACACCACCATATTTTTCAATATTCTTAAGAAAAAACCCGAAAACAAAAATTGCATCCAGTAATTACTGAAAAATATATACCATTTTTCCTAGTGTTCCTTTTTACCCACCTGCAATTATTTTTGGATCATTCATATTTGAAGATGCTTTCAACCAAATGATAAACCTCGAGTATCCATCAATAGCGCTATTTATTCATATACCATTGAGTCAAGATGCCATAAAAAATTGGGACCAGTATTATTATATTGCCTTTTATGCAGTCTTCGTCTTGTTCTTAGTTCTACTCCAGAAGGATTCAAGTTTTGTAATATTAAACGAACCATATTCTGCGAAACAGAGAAACCATTTTGAATGCATTTCAAATGCATCCATCTATAGCCATGGAGTTGGGAAGAATTTTGTAACTGATGGTCTATAAAATTTACTAAAATATTAGCTCCACTGAAATATTTTTTTCTAAACAACTTGTTTTTGTTTAAAATCCTCTTTAGTTGTCGTTTTGATATATTTGTTGAAAATCTCTTTTTCAGTATGTTTCGAATTTCACTATAATTACATGCATTTAAAAAAATAGTGCATAATAAGATTATTTCTTGATCTTGAATCCATCGTCTAGTGTTGCAAATATCTTAAAAGATGGTTAAAATTGTAAAACAACTTAATGAATTATACATATGTTTAAACTCAAAACTCACCTGAAGCTACTACAAGCTCGAGAATGGAGAATTTCACGAAACATTGACCAAAGCTCATCATTTTAAGCAGACATGTAACACCAAAATAACTCACAATTGCGTGATAATAAGTCACAATTGCGTGAAAATAAGTCGCAATTGCGAGATAGTAAGTCACAATTGCGTGATAATAAGTCACAATTGCGTGATAATAAGTCGCAATTGCGTGATAATAAGTCACAATTGCGTGATAATAAGTCGCAATTGTGAGATAATAAGTCACAATTGCGAGATAATAATATTTTTTTTTTAAAAAAAGTGGCCCCAGGAAGCTTTCGTAATTTTCAAACTCCGTTATTGTTATTAAGATAATATTTTATTTCATTAGATGGTCAACATGCATTCCATTTTTTTGTAAACAAAAAAAACTTCAAATTCCATTCTAAAATTTTGGAGCACTTATCTGAAAATAAAAAATGGCATTGAATTTATGGGGTATGAGGACATGGCCGAAATGTTACGTGTTACTCTCCAGTTACTAAAAAATATTTGTTTTAGCGACGAACGCACGTTTCATTTAAACGGTTCAGTGAACAAACACAACTGCAGATATTGGAGTGACGAAATCCGCATTTCTTCAGGGAAGGGCGCAGTATCCAGAAAAAATAAATATCTGGGCGGGAATTTTAGGCGACACTGTGATTGGGCCATTATTTATTAATGGCATTCTTAATGGCGATACTTGGAAATGTTAGATATCACCATTCAACCTCTCATTGTTGAAGACATTGAAAATCAGCTGGACATTGACGAAAACAGGAATCTGAATGAAAATTTAATACATTTTCAGCAAGACGGAGCACCACCCCACTACGTTCTTCCAGTCAGGCAATTTTTGAATGATGCATTTCCAGGTCAATGGATTGGACGGAGAGGTCCAATCTAATGGCCGGCGAGATCTCCTGATCTAACACCTCTTGATTTTTTCTCTGGGGACTTTTGAAATCCATCGTATTTAAAACAAAACCGGATTCAATAGAAGATCTTCGGCAACGAATTATTACGGAATGCAGCAATATTCCAAGAGAAGTGTTCCACAATTTAAGAACAGAATTTGAAAATCGATTATACTATTGTTTAGCACAAAATGGAATGCATTTTGAACATCTAATCAAATAAAATATAATTAAATTTTTTGTTTTTGTTACCCCCTGTATTGAATGGAAAAAATTCTTATACAGGTGAATACTACTAAATGAGACCTTTCATTTGAGGTATCACAAAAGGGGTAGTGCCATTTGACATTTTAAAGTTGGGGTGTGTCGCGTCTAAGGGGTGACTCACCCGCTCACTTAAAAATATTAGTTCTAGTTCCTCCTAACTCTATAACATTTCTGCCAAACGGGGTTTTTATTTGGCAAGATATTCGCACTGAAAGTTTTCAAATTGACACCCTGTATACTGTTTCAATAGATCCTTTTAAAGTTTTATGAGGTTACGTAGGAACACACAGGGTGTCCCAAAAACATACCGACAAACTTTTAAGATTAAAGGGAGATAGGGGACATCAAAACAAACTTTTTTTGTTTAATAAACATCTATCCTCAAAGAAGCCGTTTGGGCAGAAAAAATTAAAACGTTTTGGTTAGTTTTATTTTCGTGATAAATAATTATTATTAAAGGAACCAAAAGAGGTTAACGGATGTTAACGTAGTTTAGATTAGTAAAAAAACTTGTATTTCGTGCCAAATTGTTTTATTTTAAAAATGCAAAATGCTTTCGGCATAACGCCGTTTTCAGTGCTTATTGTCTACCACAATGATATTCAAAAATTTTAAAGGTCATTTTGATTCAGAACATTAGTTGTTGGAGTGTCCCACCTTGCTAAATATTCCTGTTATTTTCTTTAAAATATTTTGAATTTTATTTTATTTAAATTAAGAGTTATTTATAAAGCCATTATTTAAGTTTAAGATCTAACAAATTTCCCATTTTTTTAGGCGGCTAAAGTCTGTCACTCTAGCTGTT